CACTCGCCTTACCTCCCGGGGCCTTATTTTGCCCGAGCGCTAGCCGCGCGCTCTTGCCTGTCGGGTCCCCCTCGCCGGCCTCGCATGCCCCGCACGCGATGGCTTGCGTCTCACCCGCTTGCCGCGCTAACCTCTTGCGCGCGTTATAGGCCCGACTCGAGGCGTTATTCAGCTGTCTAGCCACATCCGCATCATTCCCGTCCCCTTCAAGCGCTTCCTTGTCCTCAAGGATGAAATTAGGGAACAGTTCGCGCATTTCTTCTATATCTTCCCAAGTGGCTTCTTCCGATGGCAACTCCTTCCATTCGACTAACACCTCCCCATCGACAACGCCCAGCCTTCCTTATTTGGCGATATTCGATCGCACGGCTTGGCCTTATGATTACCCGTCCATCCGTGGCTGTCGCGGGCAGTTCCTCGCACCACTTGTGCGCTTCAACCAAGCTTCGTTTGAGTTGCGAGACATGTATGACTGGATGGATGTGCGAACTCTCGGGCAGCTCAAGGCGATAAGCTACTTGCCCTATGCGCTTCAAAACCTGGTAGGGCCCGTAATAGCGCACCCCGAGCTTACTCGCAGCCCTTTGCGCCGTCGTGCGTTGTCTAAAGGGCCGCAGCTTCAAGTAGACATAGTCGCCTGGCTCAAAACTTTCCTCGCGTCTTTTGCCGTCATGAAAGGTTTTCATGCGGTTAATTAACCCCTTGAGAGTTCTCTTCAGTTCTCGTAACATTAAGTCTCTCTCCTCAAGTTCTCGACCAACTTCGTCGTTGATTGCCGCTCCTTCCGAATAATTCACGAGCGTAGGTGGTTTGTGCCCGTATACCAACTCGAATGGCGTAGCCTTGGTCGATTCATGGTAAGTGGTGTTATACCAATACTCGGCCCATGGTAGAAAGTTTTCCCACTTTTTCGGAAATTGATGCACATAGCATCGCAAGTATTGCTCTAGCGTGCGGTTAGTCACCTCGGTTTGACCATCCGTCTGTGGGTGATAGGCAGAGCTCCCTGATAGCATAGTCCCTTGCAGTTTAAAGAACTCGGACCAAAAGCTACTCATAAAAATCCGGCCACGATCAGAGACAATCGAGCGTGGCACCCCATGTAACTTCATGACATACTCAATAAAGAGCTTGGCGATAGACTTTGCCGTGTAGGGATGCGTGATTGGTATGAAGTGCACGTACTTCGTCAGTCAATCGACCACGACCATAACTCCATTGAACCCATTAGAGATTGATAGCGCCTCGATGAAATCAATGGTAATATCCTCCCAAATATTCTCGGGTACGGGCAAAGGCTGTAATAGACCACCCGGTCGTCGGGCGTCAGCCTTATTGCACTGGCACTCGTCGCAGTGCGCGACGTACTCCCGAACCGCGCCTTGCTGCCCTGGCCAAAAAAAGGTATTGGCCATTCTCATCCAAGTATGGTAGAACCCCGAATGTCCTCCAATTTTTGAGTTGTGGAAGTGCTGCAAAATTTGCTCGCGGAGTTGCCCACTATCCGGCACAAATACTCGGCCTCGGTGTAGCACGAGACCATTGTGAAGCTCGTAGTCGGCTATCGCTGCTTCACCAGCCTCCATTGCTCGTAGCAAATTTCGACATTGGGCGTCATTCTCTTGAGCCCTCCTAATGTCTTCCCATATTGCCCATGTTGGCCCGGTTATGGTTTCGAGCTCAGCAACATCAGTCCGTCTCGACAAGGCGTCGGCTACGGCATTTTGTCGACCCGGCCTGTATAGTATCTCAAAGTCGAAGCCCATAAGCTTTGAGAAAAATTTTTGTTGCTCGGGCGTCACAATTCTTTGCTCGAGCAAGTTCTTGAGCGGCTGTTGGTCGGTCACAATCCGAAAGCGTCGTCCTAAGAGATAGGGCCTCCAGCATCGTACCGCTTCTACCACTGCAAGCATCTCCTTCACATACACGGACAATCCTAGTCGGGTCGTGCCTAGGGCCTTGCTAAGGAAGGCCAGGGGACGTCCTTCCTGGACCAGTACCGCACCAATGCCCACATCGCTCGCGTCCGTGTGCACCTCAAACAACACATCGAACCTTGGCATGGCTAGAACAGGCATCGAGGTCATCGCACCCTTAAGCTTCTCGAATGCAGCCTCACTAGCTTCGGTCCACTTGAATCCGCCCTTCTTGGTCATCTCGGTTAGTGGCTTGGCAATGGTCCCATAGTCCTTCACGAACTTCCGGTAGTACCCCGTGAGCCCTAGAAACCCTCGCAACTGTCTTAGGCTCGTTGGCTTGGGCCAATCGACCGTAGCCTCAATCTTCCGTGGGTCGAATTTCACACCATCATGAGAGATAAAATGACCAAGATACTCGACCATCTCTTGTCCGAACGAGCACTTGGATGGCTTGATGTGGAATGAATTAGCTTCCAAGATCTCCATCACCGTACGTAAGTGCCCAATGTGCTCGGCCCATGTCTTCGAGTAGACCAAGATATCGTCGAAGAACACTAAGACGAATTTGCGCAGATGGTCCTGGAAGATAGAATTCATAGCAAACTGGAAGGTGGATGGGGCGTTGCATAACCAAAATGGCATAACCAGATACTCGTAATGCCCTTGGTGCGTACGAAAGGCTGTCTTTGGACTATCAGCCTTGTGTAGTCGGATCTGATGGTACCCGGCCCTAAGGTCAAGCTTAGAGAAGAAACGAGATCCTCCTAGTTCGTCGAGCATGTCGTCGACACTTGGTATGGAAAAACGGTCCTTGATTGTCGCGGCATTCAGTGCTCGATAGTCGGTACAGAACCTCCATGTGCCATCTTTTTTCTTTGATAAGAGTACTGGCGATGAAAACGGGCTTCAGCTATGTTGAATAAGCCCGGACTCAAGCATCTCGCCAACTTGCCTTTCAATCTCCGTCTTTTGAAAGTGAGCATACCGATATGGATGTACGTGCACGGCGTGTTGTACATTGGCCAATGGTATGCGATGATCAAACTCACGGTGCGGTGGTAAACCCTTGGGTTCGCCTAGCACACGGTCGAACTCCTCGAGTAACGCGCACACCTCGCCCTGCTGCAGGTCGGACTCGGTGATGGGCGTGTGTGCGTTCTTGACAACAACTGCAAAGATTTGGCCGCCCCCTCGCCAAACCCGCTCAATGCTCTTGAGACCAACCTCCTCGGTCCCACTGGTCTCACTTGCTTTCAGCGTGACCTGCTGTTCTCCCGCCTTGAACTTCATGACTCCAGTTTTGTAGTTGGTGGTCACTTCTCCTAAACCTTCGAGCCATTGGACTCCCAACACAACGTCGGGTCCAACCAGGGGTAATGCATAGAGATCGGCCTTGATGGTGACTCCTTGGAACTTGATGGGCACCTTGCGATAGGACTCGGTGCACTTGAGCCTTTCTCCATTGGCTACCCGGACCTCGAATGGTTCTATTGCCGTTGTAGGCAATTTCAGCTTTTGGGATAGCGCGATATTGATGAAGTTATGAGACGACCCATTATCCACGAGCACAACCACACGGCGGTCTTGACCCATGCTGGTAGCCGCATTGTCCTTAGGCCTCGAGTTCCTGCCATGGCGTGCATCGAGATCTCGGCTTCTTCCTCGAGCACTTCTTCTTCTACATTGCCTTCCTCAACCTCGGGCTCCTCGTCATCCGTGTCAATGACATCAATCACGAATGCTTGCTTACATCGGTGACCCGGGGTGAACTTTTCTTCGCATTTAAAACATAGCCCCTTCTCACGACGACGTCTTATCTCCTCAAGCGACAACTGCTTGATCTCTGGGTTTGGTGGTCGCGTGCCGCTTGGTGGCCTGATGCTAGGTGCGACATGGCTGGTACGTCGCGGCTCGGAGAACGTGCGTCCGCCCGTCCCCTTCGAGTAACGGCGAGATGATCGTCACTGCGCCGGGCAATCTCCACGGCAGCCTGCATCGAGTCGGGCCACTCCAGTCGAACCTCCGCGGCTAGTTCATACTTAAGCCCGCCGATGAATACCCCGACCAACGCAGCCTCGGGCCAGTCCCTGACGTGGCACGCTAGCTTCTCGAACTNCTCCTTCAAATAATCTCGTATGCCGCCGATTTGGCGTACGCGTGAAAGGGCCTCGTCATAGTTATGGTAGTTGGAGGTCCCGAAACGCGTGAGTAACTCGCGCTCGAAATCACCCTACCTAATGACTTGCTGCCTTTTGCGGTATACGTTCGTGAGCCACTGCCACCAGACGTTGGCCTCACCATCAAGGTAATAGGCCGCATACCGTACGCGGTCATTGGCCTCGGTCTCGTTGAGCTCAAAGTGTTGTACGGCTCGGTTGAGCCAAGCCTCAGGATCGGTGCCGGTGAAGGTGGACAGCGTGAGCCTCGGTTTGTCGAGCCTCGGGCGGTCGTGTATGTTAGACGCTTGTGACCGCTGATCAAAGTCCTCCTCGTGCTCTCCTTCCTCGGATCGATCGCGCCTCGGCTGTCGGGGAGGTGGTCGCGCATATCGTTGGAAGCCGCGTGCCATCTCCTCGAACCCTCGGTTCACAGATTCCATTAGATCACGAACCGATGCCTTGGTCGTGTCGAGCCCCTCGCCTAGGGTGTCCATGGCTTCGCTCATGCTTCGGACTTGAGCGTCTAAGTTGTCGATCTTGTCCTTCATCTCTTTGTTGGCCATGACTTTCTTTTCTTGCTTTCGTTCTTTACTTCGTGGACTCGTTTTGAGGTTTTTTGATTTTTGATTTTTGATTTTTTTTTTTTTGATAGGGGGGAACGAAAATAAAGAAGAAGAAAAAGAAAGGGAATGGGGTAGGAAAAAACACACGATCTAGATACTCTCAATGAAAGCATCAATGATGAAGATCGCGTGTCCCGATTGCCGATAAGCCACAAACCAGTGCCTTGAATCGCCGATAGGTGCCTCGTAGGTTCACACAACCGCGCCCCTTCGAAACGATAAAATTGCAAGAGAATTCAAGAAGAAATCTAAAGCAAAGTGTTTGAACAAAAGTTCGGGTTTTTTTATTAATTTATGAATTATGAAAAAATAACAAGAGGAAGGGCCTTTATATAGGCATGAAATAGGTCTATTCCTAATCTAGCTATAACTCTAATAAAGCAATAAAATATTAAGTATCCTAAACAATCTAGAAATCATAATGGAATAAGGAAACTAAATAACTAAGGGATCTTGAGCCTTGACTTGCACTCCAAGTCAAACATCCCAACCGCCTACTCGCCGCCCTTGGGACCCGCGCGCCTTGCCTTAGTCCTCGAGGACTAAGGTTGCGCCGCCCGTCCCCGCGCTCGCTTCCCCGCTGTGCGCCCTGCTCGAGCCCTCGCGCCCGTCTCCGCCACCCGAGACCTCCTCGCGCGCGTCCCTCGCGTCGCCCGCGTCTGCGCCAATCGCCTCACCTCCCGTGGCCTTATTTTGCCCGAGCGCTAGTCGCGCGCTCTTTCCCGTCGGGTCCCCCTCGCCGGCCTCGCATGCCCCGCATGCGATGGCTTGCATCTCACCCGCCTGCCGCGCTAACCTCTTGTGCGCGTTATAGGCCCGACTCGAGGCATTCTTCAGCTACCTAGCCACATCCGCATCACGCGGTGCCTCCTCCGCGCCGTGGCATCTGTGGTGGATATATATCTATATATATATGTGCCCCGAGCATTTGACTGAGGATCTATAGCTCGACCGGGTGAAAACCCTAGGTCCGAGAAAACACCACGACAGCTCCTTTCTCCCCTCTTTCTTCTTCTTCTTCTTCTTCTTCTTCTTCTTCTTCTTCTTCTTCTTCGTTTTTTTCTTCTTCTCCATTTTTATTTTCCCTTATTCTCCAAATCAACTCCATCTTTCACCTAGATTTTGTTCTTGCTTTTGAATTAAGCTTGTAACTTGGATTCGAGGATGATTTCTACATATTGATCGTAAGTTGTTTCATTTTCATTTAATTGATGAAATTGATTGCTTGGGTTGATATGATTGATTGTGTTGAATTTATTTTGCTTAGCTAAATCCGATTGCTAGGGATAGGGGATGATTGTTCTTGATTAAGTCTCAGGCTTTAATTTGTTCGTCCTTGTGCGAGTTGATTTGATTAGGAATTTATGAATTCTTGCTTGATTGATTGATATAATTGAAGAGTGACACTTCGATCTTGCAATTGGAAACAATTGAATATTGATTTGTCGAGTTAGGTTTTGTTGATTTTAAATGATTAGTTGATTAAATACCTTCAAATTCAATTAGCGACTTTTAGAATCGAAAGGGAGAAGTCGTAGAACTAGGCTAGTACGGGATAGACGATTTTGTAATTGAATAGTCTATAGGTTTCGGATTGAAGTACATGCTTGTCGATGTCCCTTCGCTTGTTACGAAAAGTTATTGGGAATGGGTAATTGGCAGGTGTTGTATTCTCGGACTTACTCGTCTATGTTCAACCCCTTGTTACGAAGAGTTATTGGGTGCGAACTGCTAGATGTTTAGGCGAGAGAGTCAATCTTGAACCGAACGATTATGGCCTAGTTTTGCGAATAGAACTCAAAATAATTATCCCCGACTCCCTAGCTTCTTTATCAATGTTTCATTTATATTCTTAGGTAGATTTATGTTTTATGCTATTTCTTAGTTAGTGATTTGTTCTGACCCTATCTTGGTTAGAATGTTTAGGATTTATTTTCCTTTTATGTGTTATCAACACCACTTCTAAATTCCGAACCGCCTTCGACCCAGGGAACTAATCATTCGATTCGGTACTCAGTAAAATAAAAATAATTTGTACACAACAGTGGGGATGGGTTGGGCTGATTTAGGGGGCAGGGGGTTGAGTGGGAGATTTGAATGTGAGGGTAGAGATTGTTGTAGCACAAATTGTTATTTTTACCGAGTACCGAATCAAAGATTCTTTCTCCGGGTCAATCTCTTGAGGAAGGCGGTTCGGAATTTAGCTTTGGTATCAATTACACACAAAAAGAAAATAAATCTTAAACACTCTAATCAGATAAGGGAGTTGAATAATTACTAACTAAGAAATAGTAAAAAAGCAATAATGTACGTAAACATGTGAACGAAACAAAGATGAAGAAGCTAGGGAATTAGAGATAATTAATTCAAGTTCTAGCAAAGCGGGCCAATTAATCGCTCGGTTCGAGATTGACACTCTCGCTTTGACATCTAGCGGTTCGCTCCCAATAACTCTTCGTAACAAGGGATTGAACATAGACGAACAAACTCGAGCATACGACACAGGCCAACTATCCCAATCCCAATAACTTTTCGTAACAAAGGACGGGTCATCGACAAGCACTTATTTCAATCCAAAACCTAAGACTATTCAATTACGAAATCATCTACCTCATGCGAGCCTAGGTCTACGACTTCTCTCCTTTCGGATCTACAAGTCGCTAATTAACTAGAAGGTGATTAATCAACTAATCATATAGAATTGACAAACCCTAACTCGACAAATTGACATTCAATCGTTTCCAATCGCAAGATCGAAGTGTCACTCTTCGATTATATCAATCAATCTAGCTCAAATTCATCAATTCTGTATTATATCAACTCACATAAGCATGAACAAATCAAGCCCGACAGATACGAATGAAACAAGAATAATCATCCCCTATCCCTAGCAGAAGGAATTAGCTACGTAAATCAAATTCAACACACATAATCATTCCTCTCAAATCAACCATTATTCATGAATTAAATAAGAGAAAGAAATTCTCACAATTAATCCCAAATCCAAGTGTTGAATATGTATTACAGGCTTAATCCTCGAATACTAAGAAGAAGAAAAAGAAAAACGGAAAAGAAAGATAAGAAGAAGAAAAACGAAGAATAAGAAGGGAAGAAAAGAAGGAGAAAGGAGCTCTGTCGTGTTCTTTTACGGGCTAGGGTTCATCCCCAAAAGGGGAGAATTGATTTTCTGTCGATGTCCCGTACATATATATATAGGATTAGGTGACACGGCGTGGAAAATCCGAGCACGGCGTGAGGCGAGTGGGCACAGCGGCGCGAGGGATGGCACGGCGCGGTGCTGGGAAGCCTGGGAAGTCTCTGTCGGGGTCGTGGAGGCTCCACGGCGTGGAGAAAAGCCGTGCCGCGCCGCGAAGGATGCTTCACGCCATGGTGGAGAGTTGTGTCGCGCCGCAGAGGTTGCTCGCGCCTCGGCGCGCTGCCTGCTTGCTTCCAGCACTATTTTGATTTTGGGGCTCGTCCGAACTCGGAATTGGGTTCCGTTTTTTCCACGCATCGCTAACGAACCCCTCTATTCAATGATGCTTTCATGACCAGATTTTGCCAATAGTAAAATCCTCTAGAGTTTTCCAACCTTCAAAGGGTCGGCAGCTTGTTGGACTTTGCATTTCGGCCCCGTTCGGATTCATCTGAACTCAAAATCGAGTTCCGTTTCTTCATAAATGTAGCTAACGAACCCTTCTACTCAACGATGCTTGCCGACTCAAATTTCGAGCTAAATCCATTCCTCATGGGTCTTTCGACCTGCACACATAAAACAAGAAGAAAAACATAGAAAACTGACAAAATATACGAAAAACACATAAAAAACCAAAATAGAGCAAAACACATAATAAACTACAAAAGAAACTAAAAACCAACTAAAAGACCTAATATGGGGGAAAAAGAAAGACAAAATAACAACTAAAAATGCAATAAAAATGGGACAAACAGAGATTGCTGATGTGTTTGGGCTACGTGTGTGGGGCTTGGCTGGGAAGGATGGTATTTGGGTTTTGAGGGAGTGGGTTGGGCTTGGGTGAGGGAAACGGGTTGGCTGGGCCCAGGAAGCTGGCCCAACGAGCCAAAAGAGATAGAAAGCCTGGTACTTACCTAATTTGTGGGTCTATGTGCTATGGGCCTATTCGAAGGCAAGTGGCTCAAATGGTCCAAATGAGAAAAACGCCAACTTGGTTGGGAAATAGCCATGTCTCCCCCGTGCTTCTCAAACCTTACCACATAGCAAGAGGATATAAGGCGATTGGGGAAATTTCCTATTGACCATCCAAGGCGGCGGCCAAACTTCGCAGAGGTTTGTTGACTGGCCAGAGGAGATGAAGTTTTCGCCAAGGGGAGAGCAATTCGAAGATGGCAGCTTAGCGAAAGAGACGGCTAGAGATGGCGAGGCTACTAACTCCGGGAACGTGGCCAGGAGTACGACGACCACTCGCGAAATGTTCTCCTCAAGAGACGGTGGCGACGATGTTGGCTCTCCGAAAGTGACAACGGTGAGGCTGGGCGTCAGCAAAGACGGGCCTGAAGGGACGGCAGTGACGCTACTGCCGTGAGCACCAAACTCACCTCCTGCTGCCGGTGATGGGACAAGCATTCCCTCCGCTGCCGGCATCAGAATTAACTTCTCACCTACTGTCAGCAAAGCTGCAATGCCCGGATGGCCAGGAAAAAAAAATACCTAGATCCGGAAGGCTCTCGATGGCGAAGGCCATGAAGCCGGACAGAGGCTACGAGATGGGGACTAAAGAACTGGACAGAAACCAAGCAGGACTACAAAACGGGTAAATGAAAAAAGTAAGAAAGAAAACAGATAACGGGAAGATCGGAGACTGGCCGCCGCCGGCGACGGTCGATCGGAACTGAAAAAAGAAAAAACTAAAATGATGACCAGAAATGATAGAAGGAAGAAAAAAGAAAGGGGGAAGAAAAAAAAGGCTAGAGAGAAGGAGGAGAAAAATTAAAGAGAGAGAGAGAGAGAGAGAGAGAGAGAGAGGGAGAGATTGTTTTTTTAAGTTCTCAAGCTTGATAGACAAGAAGGAAGTGCATAGTCCAAAATAGATTGCCAAGCTAGACAAAAAAGTAGGAGATTGAGGGTGAAAGAAAAATTAAAACATTTCTTATGTCGAGAAGAAGAAGAAAAGTTGGAACAACTCTTTTTTGAAATGCAGCAAAGCACAGAGGGTGTGGAAACTTGCACCTTGGCATTTGGATGAGATTCAAAGAGAGAGTTGTAGCTTCAAATCTTAGTGGTGGCACGTATGTTCAATTAGAAAAACTGAAATCTCGGAAGCCCCATTCAACTTACCACTTATATATTATGGTGGCTTTGGAAAACCCGTAATCTTTGGGTGTTTGAGGGAATTTGGAAATTAGAAACGGTTCTCGTGAAACTAGCAATGAAGGATTAGTAGGAGCATCTAGACTTGTCAACAAAGTAGAAGAAGGTACAATTTTTACACTAGCTACGTCTCTTAGAGTCAATGGTTGTGTATTTGTTTCTTTGCTTGTAGGGTTGTTTTTAGAGGAACGATTTTTACACTAGCTAGGTTTCTTAGAGTCAATGGTTGTGTATTTGTTTCTTTGCTTGTAGGGTTGTTTTTAGAGGTTGGTTTAGCATGTTGTAACTGCAAGGCCTCAGTTTGTTGTAATTGCATGCGGTTATATTGTTTTTGTTGTTTCTAGCAGTGTTCTGACTCTCTGTTTCAAGTCCCGTTTTCAATTTCGTGTTAAGTGGTAAATTAATGACCTATCTTAAGTTTAACTCGGTCAAAGTCCCCAAAAATTTCAAGAAGTATTAGAAAATTGAACGAAATACACATAAGGCCATGACTAAGTCAAAGATGGCCACTTGTTTTTACCACATTTTTCCTAAATGCATTATTCACCTTCCACCTCCTTAGCCACGGCCATATGACTTCAAAATTAGATGGAAATTAAGTTTTTCACCTTAAGAACACAGAAAACACTTAGAAGTTATGAGAAAAACCGAAAAATAGCAATCGAGTTCGTGAACGTACGAAATTGTCACGAGAAGAAGCACTAGCACCATCTTCTTGATCTTTTGCTTAGTGATTCGAAGAGGTAAGAACCCAAATATTAGCTTGCTATATAGCTGAGTTATAGAGCTTTAATATGTGCTAGGATAAGCTAAAAGTTCAAGTTTTCAAGTGAGCATAAATTTATAATAAGTATAAGGGCTCTTCATTCATGTACATGAAGCATAGGTCCTGTTTGAGTTTGATTCTGTGCATGCTATGATCAAACTAGTAAAGTAAGTTGAACATATGTAATTCTTGTACTTGTTCTGAGTATTTCCATGAAAGAATCATGTTATTTGATAAAGTATAGCTCGAGTTACAAGTATTTGAAGTTTAATGTGCAAAGTGATTTTTGAGTACTCTCTTTCAGCTGCTACCTAAAATGCGAATATCTCAGTCCATAGACATGCTATTAACATGAAATGTTTATGACATGTTAACATATGAGTTAAGAGTATGACGGTTCAGTTTCAGCTCAAAATGATGAGAAATGAACAAGATAAAAATGTTAGCCTACCAGCATGTCAAGTTGATCTTAGTTGAAATAGAACTCAGTCTACACTCATGCTTTTGATGTGAAACTTTTATGAATATTTCTTGTATGAGTTCTGATCAAGATGACCAAGTTTCAGCTTGATATGATAGGTGTGGGATTTTATAAAATTCTTTGAAATTATGTGTATAATTAGCATAATTATATGTTAAGTTTAGCACTTGAGTTGAATGAGCAAATGAAGTGCTATTGAGCTGAAATTTGAACAGCAAGTACTTGAGTATGTTAACTATTTAACTACCAAGTTTCAGAATTTGTAGAATTTTGTATGAGTTTTCAAAAATCATGAAGTTTAAAGTCTCGGTTTCATTCGAATTAAGTGATTTATGTGCTAAGTTGGTGCATAGTTGAAATTTACAAGTATATATGGTCCTAGTTAGACCGGTTCAGCCAGTCCAGTCCAATTAGCGAGTGAACCGGCCGGTTCGGCCGGCGGTTCGAGTCATTTTTGGGTTCGTGTGTTCGGTTCGAGTCGTATTCCGAATTTTTAGTAATTTTCAAGCCAAAATCAGTTCAGTTCAAGTTATATCAATTAAATCCGGACTTATTATAATTTTGTATCAAACCCTTAGAAGGTTTCCAATTAATCCGGATAAGTTAGGAATTAAAGTCGAGCATTTTAACATTTTATTGAGTATTCTGAGCATGGTATTTAGTATATTAATTGCTTATATTTTTATACAGTTTGACGAGACAGATTTCAAGTTCAGCACTGCCATTTTCATTTTCAAAAGTACATGTGGGAGCCTAGACGTGGTATTACATTGACTATAATATCTGATATCATGTCCAAGGTATGTATATATATTAAGTTTATCCGCTTAGGGTGGTGGCCACTAGTTGCCATGAGTTTGTCCCCTAAGTTCTGGTGGTGGCCGCTAGTTGCCTTAATATACCACTAGAGTGTGCACATGGTTACTGGCTGAGTTTTCAGATTTGTCGGGAGATTAAGTTACAGTACAGTTTCAGTTTCAGTTTATATACATTGACGATCATGATATTGTTATTATTATTGCTGTTTACTTTAGTATGGGTTTCTGCGGAGCATTTTGCACTTTCGTGCTCACGCCCCACTATTATGTTTTTTTTTTACAGATGTTCGGGTCGGGCCGCAGGCGTGAGTTGAGTTGCTGTGGTGGTGGTCATGAATTCGGCTCAGCTGGCCGTTTTGTGGACTTTTGTATATACTCAGTTTGTATATAATTTTGCCACGCTTTACAATTCCGCTGACGTTATTTTCAGAATCAAACTTGCATGCTAGTTTTCAGATTTTATTGAATCTCTAGACAGGTCTGGTTGAGTTACATGCTAGTTTGATTAGATTATATATATCTGTTTTCTTTATGTCTAAACCAGTATTTAGACCAAGTTAAAGAAAAACAGATTTTCAGAATAGATAAGTTTTGTAGCATCCCGAGTTAAGTTAAATGATTTCGAAAAATTTATATGTATTTTCGAAATAAGTTGCAAAAATTTTACTCTGATACTAGTAAGTTAGCGGGGTGTTACAGTTGGTATCAGAGCCCGATTTCGTGTATCTGAATACTTCAGCGAGTCAGAAAGTTTTCAGAAAACCCGACCACACCACGCTCACGCCTCCCCGACTATCAGGTAAGTGCTGAAATTTATTTATAAGCAAATTTTTACTAAGTCTATGCTCAGTAGGATGTCAGATATCCATATTTCAGAACCAGTATAGATGCTCAAATTAGTAATAGAAATTCCTTTAGCAGTATTAGATTTAAATCAGAAGTGAGAAGTCTAGTTGAAATTAAGTTTATCGAGTTAATTTTAGTGACTCGTCAGGAAATTGGGCTTTATT